GAGGACGCCCCGGAGAAGACACCGGACACGCTGGAGGGACTATGTCTCTCGGCTGGCCTGGGAACGCCTCAGCATTCCCGCGGAGGAGCTGGAGGAAGTGTCTGGAGAGAGGGAAGTCTGGGCATCTTTGCTTAGACTGCTGCCCCCACGACCCGGTCCCGGATAAGCGGAGGAAAATGGATGGATGGATGGATGGATGCAAAAATACAAGGCTTTCTTTGAGCTTGGGTCATCTGGGATTTACAGATATAGATTACAATGCAAGCTGTATCAGATGAAGCCAATTTAACCAGTATATGGTGTTTTTATTTCAACAATTATTTGTCCAGGAGAAGGTGACTTAGTGAGCTTGCCTTTTCCGACAAGCACACCTCATCACTTATTATTATCAGCCATCCTTTTCCCCCTGCTGGCTCTGCTCCATATAGGATATGCCTTTCGCTCAGCTCTGTTGTAATGATGCAAACGGTGTAATTATGGCTGTCAGTGGCCCCAGGCTGCTGTGTAATTTGGGTTTCCAGCGGTTGTCCATGATGTCATTGCACTGTAGATTCTAAGGCGACAGTGAGGGTGAAAAGTTCAATATCTCTTTTAGCTGCTGATAGATGGACTCACACACACCACAAGACATCTTCACAATAAGTTAAATCTTTAAAAAGTTATTTTCTCCAGTAGCAGAAGGCTACTGTGCTGGCTTGTCTAGAAGAGTGTAGTTCTGCCTGAAGCCTTTATTTAAAAGTATGCTACTTGCTATTTGCTTTGTTACACAGGTTTAATAGCGTGTGAAAGAAAAATTAGTGAATAACAAGCAGCGAAGATTGTGCAGCGGGCACACATATAATATGAGGGTCTGTTAAATCTTTGTGTCATTATTATGTGTTTTTAATTGTTTGAAAGGCAATTCTCTAACAAGCGTTTTGTGAACGTCTCTGAGGATGCAGTTGTGCTTTCATTTTTTCTCTTTCTCTTAAGTGCTTAGTGCTATATATCAGAGCTGGAGTCTGGTCAAACTAATGTGTTTTATGGAGGATTTGGAAAACAGCACAAACCTGACCACTTCCACATGTACTCAGCTGGGCGCTGGTGACAGGGGATTGTCCAGTTCTGCCAGTAAACTCTTTCTGACCCACTGTCAGACCCTCGACACACTCTACCCTCCTGATGTTTCCACACTGATTGGATGTAGTCTTTTGGCTTAATAGTGTGTATATACACTGATTCATTTGAAGAACAAGACTATGATTATGGGTTTGATTCCTGCCGGGGCCACCCATGCTACAAACAAACACATGCAGTTATGGCACTGCTCAGCAAGTTGCTGTGGATGGATGAAAGCCTTCCACCAAATGTTGTGCTCAGAGGTCGATAGATTTTGCCGGAAAAACCGCTGCGCTCCTCAGGCTATTTGAAGCTTAGGTTTCTATTATGGCATGTAAAACCATTTCATCTATTTACCTCCGTTGCAAAAGGATACAGACTTAAAAGAATGTGATGTAAATGTATGTATTTTTTCTTTTCTACATTGTGTGTGTTTCATGTTGATAACTCCTCAAAAATGAATCATACTCAAAACAGGAATATATGTGTCATGCCACAAACTGTTAACAGAAACCCATATACTTTTTTGATTAAAAGATTTCTCTGGCCAAATGTGTTGTAATGTCATAGTGAATGGACGATGCACAAGCTTGCATACCCATGCTCACAAACATTAGAAATAACACTCTTGTTAACTCATACATGTGCTGTGGTAGGTGGTGTTTTGTGGTTGCAAGTTACACATGTACTAGTAGGTAAATGGGGTAAAATGTAGAACAGAGCAGGTGAGTGTTTTGTGTTCTGGTGCTGAATGGGGAAAGCCCAGTAACCTCCAGCAGTCCTCTTTATGAACGACAGCCAGGAAAGGAAACCGCAGAGCACACAGTCCGCCACCGAGGAAGACGGAAATTGGGCAAACATGCACACACTTTGTTAATCAAGACCTTTATTCCTGCACACGTGTCCTTCTGTGCGCACACACATGAATGTTTTGTAGATGTTTGTTGTATGAATTCATTCATTTTTGAAGATGCACACACAAATATGGTGGAAAGCAGAAAACCGCACAGAATCATACACACACACAATGCAAGGACTGCCTGTTGTTAGTTTGTCCAAGCGGTGAGGATGTATCCCGGCCAACGGGAAAGTCCACAGAGTGAATGGGCCGAGGGCCTTCAGGGTGGAAGGAGTGTGTTGTGTGACATCTGGTCTGCATGTGGCCTCAGGCGGCTGCAGAGCTACATGTCAAACATGTTCACCAACTGATAACTTTAGGTCTGGCCAAAGCTTTTCAGTTTCATACATGGCCTTGTTTTTGAGGCAGCAGCTATACGTCAGAGACAAACTAGCAGATGCCCAGTTTACGGTGTGCTCATATGGATGGGTTTCATCTTTGGGGTGGAAGACATATGGGTGTGGTGTGCTTTAGCTGTAAAGTGCTGTATAGGTCATCCTTTAATCATGTCAGTTTCTTTTTAGCTATAACACTGCCTGTCTCACAGAGCGTGCGTATGAGATCACCGGTGAGGTCAGACAACACACTGCTGCAGAACTAACATCAATAATCCTGTGTCATATACTTTATTTTAATTTAATATGTGCAGAAAGCTGGCATAACCTCAACATCTGAATTCAATTAAAAGGTTTGGGAAACAGTTAAATTGTCAAGAAAATATGTCAGAAGTGCAGGAAAATACAGTAAATGTGAACCAGTAATCAAGACTAACAGGATAAAATCATGCTCACAGCATTTAGCATTGATTTGAGGCAGTATAAATGGACAATATTGTCTGCGGCAAACACACAGCAATTGAAAATTTACTGTCATCATTGTTTAAAAGGTTGACCCTGTGTAGTAATCTATGAAATTTCTTCTTTCTGAGCAGCACTCCTATAGAGTACAGTGGAGGAAATCACTTTAGGACTGTGCGTTTACCAGGAGCTTCAACTTTATAGCTCTGACCTTTTATTCAACTCTTACTTACTGGAAGCTTTGGCTTGGCGAGTGCTCCAAAATATAAAAATATTTCAAGCTTTAGCCAAAGTGGAGTTGTGCTCAAGATAGGTTTCAGTAGAGACTTTGTCGGTGCTGTTGAGTCACTACTAAAACTTGCTTTCCTTCACTTGCAGCTCTTCACAGCTTCTCTTTCCTGGGCCTTCCAGCAGCAGGCTGTACCGCCAAAGTACCAGTACCGTGACCCTGTGACAGCTGATCTCCTCCTGTGTGACCAGTGCCCTCCTGGCACAGCTGTGAAACAACACTGCACTGTTGACTCGCCCACGGAGTGTCAGCCCTGTCCTGAGAGGCATTTTGCTGAGAACTGGCACTGGGGGGACACGTGCCAATATTGCACCTCGGTATGTGTGAGGCCAAAAGGTTAAGACATTCTCTGAACCTTGAGTTCACTTTGGTTTTCTTCTTAAAACACCCCCAAGCTGCATTTTTCCAGGCATACTAGTATTTCTGATCCTTGTGCATTAAGTAGTGATTAAACTCCAGTTTTTGTATGTACTGTACAGTACTGTAAGAAGTATCACCTCTCTATTACCACATATAAACTTACAGCATGTCATAGCCAGGAATTCTGTTCAATATCCTTTTATTGTTATCATCTGACATCTTCTCTTCTGTGCTGCTCTTTTATGCTTTTCTGTAGATGGGTAACCATACTCTTTGTTTTCATTTAGGCACAGTATTCATCTTTTTTTTTAAAAAGCATTTCCACTTCAGTCTGTTCACTGTGGTCAAATGATCTTCCCTCAGAGTTAGGATGTTTTCCTCCATCATCTTTGACAAATGATGTAATATGACAGCTGGCTTGAGGTGTTTTCATATTGCAGTTCTAGTGTGCCTTTTGTACCATTTCTCAAGGTACTGTATGCATGTGTGAAGTGGCACCATAATACTTACAGTGACATGTTTTTTAGCCATACAACTCATTCCCACACACATTTCCTGCCCCTATATACACATATGAATTGTCCTCTGCCATATGTTATTGTGTACATGCAGCAGCACCCTTCACAGTTTCAATATGTCTATAGTGTGTGAGCACGTTCCTTTGTATTTGTTGTGTTTAGGTGTGTAAGGAGAGACAGCTAGTGAAGCAGCAGTGTAACAGCACTCATGACCAGCTGTGTGAGTGTGCTCCAGGTTTCCACCTAGTGGTGGAGTTCTGCATCACACACAGTGCCTGCCTACCTGGCTATGGAGTGACAGCTTTAGGTAAGACTCAGATTCACTTTAAGATTATTATGAGTTTTATTAGGTAAGGTCACTGGCAGGTTGTTTTGTTTTACAACACGCTCAGTTATTTTGTGGAAGCACTGAATGAGTTCAGTGAATAACAATTTTAATGGCCCAGTGTTTCCTCTGAAGTGAGAAAACTGTGTTTTTTTGATACATATGGATGTGTATATGAGTTTGTTACTATGTGTACCCATCTCCTGTATATGCAGTTCAGTATGTATTCTTATCTACTTTACTCTTGCCTAGTCTCAAATCAGTTACATTCCAGATATGCTGTGCTATGTCAAGACATTACCAGTATGCTGCCAAAGCAAAGAGGAACATAAAGCAACATTTTCACATGGAGATGTCTGGCCCCTTGTGTCACTGGAAGCCCTTCTGTCTCTCTCATCTTCCTCTGATTCTGTGAATCAGATCTGTCAGAATCTGTTTTTCTTTTTTAACTGACTTTGACTCTTTCTTAGAAAAGCTCTTTCTGTCTATCTTTCTCTTTCTGTCATACACTCAGACACAGTGTGGTTAAGACTCATTTTCTTAAGAACAGAAATATATCACAGCCAATAGTCAGATTTTTCATTTTGATCTATTTAGTTAGGTTCCCCCTTCTCTCTTCCTTTTGGCAGAGAAATGTTGCATGCATACACATGTCATACAGAGGCAATGAGATGATGATTTGGAGTCTGTGTGAATGCATACTTTTCTCTGTTGCATTTTCACACCTAGCCTTTGCAGCTATATTGCAGTGTTGCTTACTGTAAAACACCTGAGTGTGATGTACTCTTGTGCTCTTGGCAAAACCCTGCGTGTGTAGTAATCTGGCACATCCAGTTCAGTTAGCTATGATTTGCAGTTTGAAAACTGAAGTGCAGCTAATAGACATTTCTCAGTTCTGATTTCCAGTCTGTCAAGTTTCAATAAGTGATGCAACTCATTACTCCATTTGCAATAATATATTGTCAGAAATGATCTACATAAGACCACTAGAGATGATTAGATAAGGGATACCATAAATTTTACAGTATCTGTTAACCTTTAACCAATATGAATCCTTAAAACTGTAAAATATTTTGACGTAGGTTTACCCGATCTTTGAAGGTCAGGCTTAGTTCCCTTGAATTCTCAAGTTCCTGTCTGCAGGTGCATGTGTCACGGCCATGTTTCCTGCACCCATGCACTATGACTGGTATGGAGTAGACTCATGAACAGACAATGAGCTCCAGTTATTCCTTCATGCCTCTGTTTTTTTTTTTTATCTTATTGAGATTCACTGTTGTCTCTGGCATCGGCTGGGTGCCACTTCTAGGAAGAGTAACCACATTACTAAATTGGCTCCATTTGAACATGTGGCCATATGAATATCTGAACTCTTTCACATTGTAACCCTTTTCTAGGCTACTCAGCAGTTCTTGCTTGTAAGCCTCCTGAGATCTTTTTTTTTTTTTTTGCTAAGCATTGTGCACAGAGTTCACAAACTCAAAGTGATTGAGTGTTTTTCATACAGTATGTTGCTCTAAACCTTGTTTCACTGATTAGACTCGTAGCTTTTGTTGATGTCATTAGACAGGAGAGTGTTTGGATGATGTATTCAATATAGAAAAGAGCAATACAATGATTTTTGTGTTATTAGTTGAAATAGATTGTTTGTTCATTATTTTAACTTAGATGGATGTCTGAACATATTTTAAGACAAAGTTATACATAAATGCAGATAATTCCAGAGAATTGACTTTTTCTTGCCAGCACCAAATGCAGTATAATATTAATAATAACTGAGAGATTCATTATCATGGCAGACATCTGCAGATTCTCTTCTTGGTGTGCCAACTAGTAGTTGTTGGCAACATAAAGTGAAGCCGGGGTAGATTCTTTTCTACTGAAACCGCAGCACAATCTGATACTACGCTAAGATGACTTTCATCTTGGACCTGTGTCCAGAATGCTGTGGATGCATACAGCAGATGAAACAACATTTCTCCCATGGGTTCTGGTTATTACCCGACCCCCGTAGTGCTGACACTGATTAAAGATGACACATTTTCCGTAAATTCCTCCAACATGAATGTACAATGTCACTTCAAAGTCTAATGAAATTCTGCAGTCATGAGACAGCATTTCATGGGATTCCCCTCCTTGAAGCTGAAGAACTTATTATATAATTCCTTAAATTGTGGTTTAGACCTTTAAAACCACAGGATGTTATAAAACCTCACTCTTTTACTGTATATGACTTTTAGGAGGCCATTCCTTCCCATTGATCTCTGACTGACTGCTTCTAATTTTGTTTTGTTTTTTTCCCTCTCTGAACATAAAAGTTTAAATCATTTTGTCTGTGTTATTTGTGTTTTTGGAAACTATTGATCAACTAAGAAACACACTCTGGAACATAATATAAATGAAAGAGTCAACAAATAAATGGAAGAAACAACACAAGTAGTGTTTTCCTGTAAATTAGAACTGCAACTAAAAATGATTTTCATTTGCAATTAATCTTCCACTTATTTTCTTTATTGATCAGTTATTTATTTGCACGTTCAGTGCATTGAAACTAAGCGAAAATGAAAATGTCCATCAAAATTTCCAAAAACCCAATAAATGTAATGCTATTAAATGTATTCTTTGGTCCAAGGAATCAAAAAATCCACAGATATTTAATTTAAATATATTTATTTAACTTTAATTTATGCAACTTCATTTATCAATCAAGTTTGAAAGCCTGTGTTCCAAGGGAGATCT